AAATCCCTGCCCATCTGGCATCAACAATCATGATAAAACATCTTTCTTTCCATTCTGATGATCAATTTGAACTTCAACAGGTCATCCTGAAATGCCTAAACACGTTCAGCTGCTGCTGTGTGATTGGCTGACTACATTAATGTGTTATGAGCCATTAAACAGGTGTACCTAGTAAAGTAATTATTGTACTGACCAGTCCAAATCCTTCCGCTCTCTTCACTTTACTTCCTGGTGAAGCAAGCTGTGGTGAAACCAAATTACTCCACTGATTTTCACATGCAACTGCAACACTGTAACAATGCAGAGTGCTTGTTTGTGTATTTCTCTGTCTGTTTTATGTACATGTTTATCTGTGTTTAACTGCGTGTGTCCTTTCTCTCTCTATTTGTGTATCTCAGGTGACAGGGCTGAGCGTGTCCCCCGGGAAGGACCAGCTGGTTGTGTTCCACACCAAGGACAGCAGGGATCTCGTGGTGTGCCTGCAGGGTATGGTGCCTGCCAATGAGAGCCGCATCGGGGAGCTAGTTGGCACCCTGCTTAGCCATTTCAAGAGGTAAGCAGTGAGGGAAACAAGTAGTAGTCAGAGGAGGGGCAACAGGCACTGGTGAAAGCAGAGTCACCTGTTAATGTGCCTAAATATAATATGTTAAAATGTCCTCAAAAATGTTAGCTGTTCTGATTTAAAGACTTGTGGGTGACACGAGGTGAAGGTAGCTCAGTTCTTCTATTTACTGTGTAGAGAAAACTGTTTCCAGTTAATAATCAGCATATTGTCCCCACTTAAACCTTGTGCGGCTCTCATTTGAGGTAATTTCCCGCATAGCTGCAGGAGCAACGTGCTTCCTAAATTGAGAAAATAATAAAATTGTCTCAATTGAATTTCTAGAACATTATGTCAAATCCAGTCACACTGGCTCATATGTGTGGTACTGGCTGATGTGACCTGTGGTTGCAGGATTATGAGGCAGTTAGATGACGCAGCAGCAGCTGTCCCCACTTAAACCCTAATGTTCACTTAATAAGGACTCGGAGCGCTCTTCGGGACAGGATATTCATTCGTACATCATTTGTTGTTTTCCTGTTCAGCTGAGAAAGGCAGATGGATAATTGGGATAAAATGTTTGTTAATTCTTTCTAAAGCTATTGTTTCGTTTCTACGTGGTTTTCTGTGTCCGCTTTAGGTCAAAAATGTGAAATGAACAAAAGTCAGTATGGATGCGCCGATCAGATGTTTTGATAGGACATCAGGCTAATCCTGATTAAAAAGCTGGATTGGTTCTTGGTGACAGCTGTCCAGTCTGTTCAGTTTAATTCTCGGTTGGTCTCTGTTCACTACGCCACGCGTCAGCATCATTGCATTGCTGAGGGAGAGATGTAACGTACGCAGCACAGAGGAATCCTATCAGCAGAGAGTCTGCAAAGTGATATTTCACTTTTTTTGGTAAATCTTCAGTTTTTTAACTTAACTTCAATCTCTGATCCAGTGAGCTGACATTACTGAGGAAAACTACGCTATTTTAGATTTATGTCGCCATTTCAATGTTATTTCGCTGCACCTGTCTCTTATATGCAAGCATGTTCATTCACAGTGAGACTGGGAGCAGGGAAAAGACAAACGCAGTAAAGATCAACACACTAATGTGAAATGAAACTACCATGCAAATGCAAACCCTGTTCTGAAAAAGTTGGAAATAAAATGGAAATAAAAATAGAATGCTCATCTAATAAATAAAATTTTATTCACATCAGAGGACATAGAAAACATGTCAGATGTTTAAAATGAAGAAAAATATTGACTCATTTCAAAGAAAGAGAGGACCGTGTTTATCACTGTAGTATCTTCTCTTCTTTAATAACAACCTGTAAACATCTGGGAACTGAGGGGACCAGCTGAAGGATTTTTGGAGAGGATTGTGGACTGCAGACAGGGCAGTTAAGCACCCACACTCTTCTACTGTGAAGCCATGCTGCTGTAATAGATGCCGTTTGCTTAAATGCAGGCTTTGCTTAAATATGCAAAGCCTTTCCTGAACAAGTCGTCGTCAGGATGGGAGCTCACGTTCCTCTAAAACCTGTAGATAATGTACCCCCATACCATCAGACATGTTGGCTTTTTAGTGAGCTTTGATAGAAACCTGCTGCTCTTTAATCCAAAGGTTGCATGTCCATGTTTTTGAAAAAGACTTTTACTTTTCCTCAGTTAATTTAAATGAGCTTTGGCCCAGAGAAGATGTGTTTTTGGATCGTGTTCACTTGTGGCTTCTTCTTCTTTAATACAGCTTTAACCTGCATTTTTGGATGATTCTCTGAACTGTGAGTTCTGGAAGTGTTCCTGAGCCCACGCAGTGGTTTTTCTTTGAATACTC